ATATGTGTGTGTGGCAAGCCCCAAAGCTGTACTTTGTGATTCAGAGTAAGTGATTTATTACTCACATGTGAAAAGAGCAACCGCCTTAAAAATACAGAATGTATTTTGTCTCTAACAAGGTTTACGCATCTGGACAGCTGTTGATCATTAAGACCACATCTTAGTGCCAGTGTGATTCTTTTTTTGCCCTCGATTGTGAACATTAGGTTTATTTGTGTCAGAGGAGAAGAATCTAGCTTATACTATGCTGCTCCATCAGTGTCTCTCCACGAACTTCTTTTGCGATCTCAGTGAGTCGTTACAGTATAATTACAAACCTAGCATGTGATGCTAGTTGTTGTAAAGTGTCAGTTTTTTGTGGAACAGAGAAACTCCAGTTCCAAACCTGTGAGTGGCAAATCGATGCCATGATGAACTGATATTAGCAGACACCCTGAAGATTTAAACTGTGTACTCTCTGGTTCAGGGAAGCAGCAGAGAAGAAAATGCCTGGCAGGGGTTAAATCCAAATGGCTGCTTGGCAGCCTATTTCTGTCAACACTTGATTCAGGAAATAAACATTTATGCTTTCTGAAATGAATGTGTATTTTTGAAGACTAGCCATCAGATATTTTTTGCCCTTCACACTTTCAAATGCTTAGCCTTTTTTGTAGGTTGACTGCAAAGTGCATCAGTTTCCCAGGCTTAAAAAAAAAGCTTGACAAGAACCCATAGCCCCACTGTCAGCCTCCAAAGTTTCCAGGAAGAGGCAAGAGGGTAGCATGAAGCAGACTATCTTCAAGCCTGTTACTTCAGGGGCACCTCCCTCTCTAGTCCTTCCCAGTCATGCTATTCCCAGCTGGTTTATTTGGAGCATGCTGTCTCGCAGATAAACATGCTGTTAGACTGTGGGTCAAGGTAGAGAGCCGTTCTGCTAGCAAAGTGCCTGAGATACATTAAATGGTACTGACTTCAGGACAGAGATGTAGAGAGATCAGAGTCATCAGCCATGTGCACGGCATGGGCCATAGCTGGGGAAGAAAAAAGCAGTAATACGGCAGAACATTGAAAACTATAACCAGTCACACACCAGAGATTAAGATCCCAGGATGTACAAAACATACAGTCCACAACAGCACAACTGCCAAGCATATTTTATTTTACTTGGGAAAGAAGTTTCTCTCCAAAGATAACTAAATGTTACAGATGGTGAGGACCTCGAACTTACAGCCTAGCACTATAAAACATCACTCAAGGCTAGATGAATGCACAGACAAGCACTTATCATTTGGGCGCTAATATGGATGCACCAACACAGCAATAGTCCTAGAAAATTCTGTAGACCTAGACATGCCTTTTCATTTATTTCTTATCACACAGGTTTTTGTACTTTGCTCAGGTCTATCGATAAAAGTATTTTTTTCCCCTGTGTCTTGATGTATATAAACTAAGGCCGGTCCTCCTGAAGGGCAGATAGAAGAATTCTGTGAAGTGAAAATATAATCTCCATTATGTATTCAGGCTCCTGAGTGACCAGGTGAGGACCCCCAGCTCCTGAACAAGGCTGTCTCCCCAGGCCTTCAGGCAGGAGGAGTCTTTGTGGAGCTTCCAGATTGCAAAGGTGTAGGAGGAAAGGGTTAACATGTTGAGATTTAGCTCTTTCTAGGCCAAGAAGAAATAGAACCCAGACTTTGATTTACATTTTCCAATGCAGAAATTACCCCCTTTTCAAAGGTTTTACAAAAACGATACCACCTTTAATCAGTTGAAATAGACTCTAACATATCAAGCAAACAAATTTGTCAAACCTTTTGTGCTATAGCCAACTCCCCAGCTGCCCAGACTCTCCCTCCTCCCCCACCCCCATAGGAGATTCTTTCTTTACCTTTTGCCTTCTTTTCATTTCCTTAAGAACTAAAAGGAAAAAGTTAGGTTTCTAGGAAAGATAAACATCCCCACACACTCACAGAATGGTTGACATCGAAGAAACAAATGGCAGGGTCAACCTCAAAAAATGAAATTTTATTGCTTTGGCTTAATTAAACCTCAAAGAAATGGGTGAAACATTGTTGTGGCTGAAAAATTGTTAATTTGTAAATCACAGGGACAAAGGGGGCCCGCTGCAACTTTAAAGTTTCCGTGCACGTAAATGTCGATAGCATGCCTTCTCCATCATCAGCACTAAATTCACATTGATGCCTCTTTTCTTCTCCGTATTGATCCTTCCATGAGAACGTAGATTTGTATCTGTTAATTAATGCGTCCTGAAACAGCGTTTGTATTAATCAGGCAGATAAGAAAAATTGGATGCCTGCACCCTCCTGACAACCGTAAAAGTGCTGGCCCTGATAAAATCGTGGATGGACCTCAATAAAAAAGTTCCTCCTTCCACTCAATAAACTAATCATCCTGCTTTTAATTATTCGGCAGAAAGATGTTTGGAGATTGGAGAATGTGTAAATCTATTTACTAACGGCAGTGTCTGGGAGGGAGAATGGTGCTGTCACAGAGTGTGCTGCAGCGACCAGCTCTGTCCATCTGCTGCAGCGGAGGCTGCTTCCTGGGAGCCTGCAAAGGCACAAGAAAACTAAGGCAAATTGAAAATACCCTTTCTGCTCAGAACTTTCCAGACAGTCATTTATTTTTGAGTGGCTTCATTTACAAAAGAAATGCCTACTTAGCCCCCTTTCTTGTGTTACATTATTTAGTTTGCTTGGCTGCTCTTTTTCTTCTGTGTGTGTGTATGTGTGTGTGTGTGTGTGTGTGTGTGTGTGTGTGTGTGTGGTGTGGTGTGAGTTTGTTATTCTTAGAAGCAAAAGCAATGGACCCATGCCTCCTCAGATTGACCATTGTTTGTTTTGTTTTTTTTCTCTTTGGAATCCCTGTTTAAAAATGTTGTTGTAGTTCTAATTCTAAGAGGATATCTGGTGCATTCAACCCCACACAGCAATGTCAAAAAAAAAATAATAATAATAGAATGATAAAAAGAGAAATAGACCTACACAGCCAGTTTAAAAGACTATCCATTAGGTAATATGTAAGCAGCTTGATAAACAATGAGAGAAATATGTTTTACATTTATCTTCAGACCCCCTTAAGAAAAGCATGACTAATCCCTCTTGATGATTTTATTAAACACTTAGACTTGATGATGCCCTATGGCAAAACCCTGCTTCACCAACAGGCCAGGAAATCATTTCTTTTTTTCCCTTTTTGTGCTGTTATTTCTAATATCACATGGGATATGACCAATTTGATATGAATAAAAATGACAACAAGAATGAGCCTGATTGGGAGCCTAGGAAGGTTGGGCATCAGAGATATTTATGATTTGGAAAATGGGGTCTGGATGGGGAGTGAAAATAGATTTTGTAAGTTGCATTATGAAAATGTTGTCCCCTCTTTTAAGATCCTGGTGGCAGAAACTTCCATCATGGTACCATTGTCCACAAAAACTCAAGGGGTGTTTGGTCACCTTTGGAATCCCTGGGTATAAACTTGGAAATGAAAGTGAACATTTAAGAAACATTACTTTTATTAGGAACCTCAGGAAACATATGACTCAGCATCAGATATCATAACTAAACTTTTCTTTCAAAATCTGGATCTAGTCTCTCTCGATCTAGTCTCTCTCTATATCTTCATTTCTAACTAGGTTTTACTTGTACTGTATTTTTAATTTTTAACTATTTTTTCTATTATACCATTCTCTTTTTTATTTCATTTTGCATAAGATTTCTTAAGTTCAGAAGGGAGTTTAAAAATGCATGTGTTTAGGGGCCTCCTTGGTGGCACAGCGGGTGGAGTGCTGCACTGTGAAGCTGTCCGCATCCTCTGCAGCACTAGTTCGATCCCCAGCCAGCCCAGGAGAAACCCACATGGCGTGGCAGACCTCTCCTGCCTCAGCCGCTGCTCCCCTCAGCAGTGTCTTCAGTCTGTCTTCCTGTTCTGCAACCCACTCTCTCTCGTGAATTCTCTCACCCTCTCATGCCTCTGACGTACCCCAGTTCTTGTATAAATAAATAAATCTTTTTAAAAAATGCAAGTGTAAAACCAGACAAGATTTTTAGTAATGAATTGAAGCAGTCATTCAGATATTTCAGATAAAAATAATTCAGAAAATAGCTGCACTTACTGAATGCCTATTATCAATTTGTTTCTTGTTGGGTGTTATATTCCCCCAAACAAAAATTAGGCTACACACCATCTCACTTAAAAAAAAAAAATTAGGCTACAAATACATTGTCTTGTTCAAGGTGAAATGGTCAGTAGCTTAGTGGAGCCAGTATTTAAATCCAGAATCTGACTCTTTATATATCCACCAAACCCCACAGCCTCTGTATTTAACTTTTCAAATAACTGTATCATAATATCAAACATATACGGTGGTTTTTCTGTTGGCTAAAGAGATCATTCTGCTGTCTTTTCTCTTTTATAACAACAATCATCATTTAAAAAATGTGTTCATGTCAAATATCAATGGGGACAGAATGTCCAATTAGAAAGGTTCTTTGGGGGTAAGCATGCCCATCACACAGTGCTTGTGATTATCATAGAGAAATAAGCCCAAACTACACTCAACTCTGTGGCCTAAATTGATTGCGTCCCTTTATTTTTTAACTTTCTCTTTTACACCTTTAGGTTGTTTATCAATGGTAGATTTTAGAGGTGAGGTAGTTGAACACTGGCCTTCCTATAATACATTAAAGGCTTCAGCCAGAAATCAAGTCGATTTAAAAACGACATGGTTCTTTATTCCAGGTGAAAGAAACAAAACTACTTCTCTACCATATTCCCATAAGTGTGTCTATAAAACCCAGAGAAAATACCAACAAGTTGAAGCTGATGGGTGACTTTTCCTTTGCCATTTGCAAAATGGTCAGGGAATTGTTTAAGAGCATCTAATGAAAGCTCAGCATAATTTTGAGCACTGATGCAGAAGCGGAGGACCATATGAAACTAATGTTGCATTATGAAATTATGGCTGCAAAGTAACTTGATCTGCCCATCTTCCCTCGCAGGCTTCTCCACGCTGTCCCTGGCCGACCAGATGAGCCTCCTGCAAAGTGCTTGGATGGAAATTTTGATCCTCGGTGTCGTATACCGATCTCTTTCATTTGAAGATGAACTTGTCTATGCAGATGATTATATAATGGATGAAGACCAGTCCAAATTAGCAGGTCTTCTTGACCTAAATAATGCTATCCTGCAGCTGGTAAAGAAGTACAAGAGCATGAAGCTGGAGAAAGAAGAATTTGTCACCCTCAAAGCAATAGCTCTTGCTAATTCAGGTTGGCATATTGACATGGGTGTGTTTATCACACTCTTTAATGTCCGTTTTACCTCTTCCCTTAACTTTGTCAGAGATTTTCGAGACCCAGTTGTAAGTTCTGATGGGTGTCAGCAAAATTATAATCATTACAGCTTTCTAGTGAAAAGTTAGAAATATGAAAAATCTGCTTAAAGGGAATTGTTTTTCTTTTATTTACCTATTGAAAACTTATACCACCTAATGCATTTACTAATTTGGACCATGACAAAGCAACACTCATGCAGAAGTAAACTAAGTGGACACTCTCGGTACCAAGTTGAATCCATTGTCTTGTGTGAACCAGTGAAAATAAGTGACCTATGGATACATACAATCTGTTTTTTTCCCCACAAAAGTTGCATAATTGTCCTCTGGAAAAATATAATTAGTATTTTTCTTACTTTGTCTAGAAGTCAAATTCAGCTGAGGGAGTATTTCCCTCAAAGGTACTAGTTATGCAGGAAGGGTGAAGAATTATGGGAATAAATGGTCTTTGCATTTGAACGGAAATATACTAAAATAGGAAGCAACCTCTGATAAGTAAAAATCGTTGGTGCTTTGTTGTTTTCCCTGTGTGCCTCTCCTAATGCTTTATCGTGGTCTTAAGTCTCTCTTAGAATTTGCATAAAGTTCAGGCTAGATCCCTTCTTAATGACATGCCGATCCATTAGATACCTGCACGTCAATAACATGCTCTGCCGCTATGTACCATTGACAGTCACACCGTGCCCCTCCATCTGCTTTTGTTTTGACCCTATCTTTGAACTTTATCTTGGTTGCTGGCCAGTAGTTTTCCCTTTAATTACAAGAAGGAAACTGTCAATAAAATCTGTTAAATGGGATGCAATGAGTGGCTTGAATGGGCGGACGGCTATTTGTTCAAATTCTGCAGCATTCAAGGTATTGACAGTTTGTTTTCTGGGGCCATATGTGACGATCAATCTCAGGCTGGGCTCAGCCGCGCTGAAAAATGAAAAACCAGATTGCTTTTGCTTACTTGTGGATGACGACTTTGTGATTTGGCGCGGTCCTAGGGAGATGAGACCTTCTGCCCAAATTGCCCCCATGAGAGCTAGGGACGCGTGACTGTTTTTAGAAATAATTTTTAATTGATTTTGTAATTAACAGTTCATCTGCAATATTGATGCATGAATCCGCGGACAGATAGGAGGGAGATTGTTTTCAACAATGAAGTTGTATTTTGCTATTTGTCTTCATAATGGAGTTTAGCATTTCACACTTATAAATGTGAATATAGTCGTCTTCCTCACCACAGCATTCCCAGGTCTGCTCCTTCTCCCCTGTGAAACAATAAATTATGACTCTTTATCACAAATGGCATCATTGTTACAAACCCTCAACAGCCCCTTGCCTGCTCTTCAAAGACGGAAGTGAGAGATAGGAGAGACATTTTCTGAGAAGGATTACTTGGCATGGACTTTACATTATAGCATCTCTCCTAATTAAATAAAGGATTTTGCAGCAATGGTCTAGGGAAGAATTTTTATTTGGTAATCATAAAGCAATTCTATTTAAAACATTTACTTGGTTAATTATTTCTAAAATATAGTCAGCATGTTTTATGTTGCTTCAAATGGCTTTCTAAGGTTATTAACTAATCAGGATTGCTGAGGATTACTAAAACTGAAATTTAAAATTGTGTATGTTAGATGTATACTTGGCGGCTATGGATTATAGTTTAGTCTACCTGAATGAATTCATAGTAACATTTCTGTCTGTTGTTTAGATGTATACTCATTAATATTTTGATATATGAATATTTGAATCCCACATTCTTTGCTGTTAGAGGAGGTGACCTACTCTAGGGCAGTGACTGGTGATTAGAAAGTCTTTAAAGAACTAGTTCACTCTTTCTTCTGTATGGCAAGAAATAGTTAATCCCTCTCTTTTCTTACCAAAGTATTGGGTAGTATTACTTTCTCTCAAAAAAACTGTCTTGGTGTCACAAAATTTTCCTGCAAATGAGTCTAACATTTTTAAACTTCTCAGTACCAAGAAAAATTAATTGAATCAGAGTCATAATTTAAAAAAAAAAAACTACATACTATATGTAAGGACTATTTTAACATCTAAATCGTGGTACCTATCTTTTATTGTATAAATTTGTCCTTTTACCTATCATCTTAGAAGCCCTATAATTTTAGCTTAAAATAGCCTATTAAAAAGTTATTTCCTTTGATATTATCAATATGATGTTATTTTATTCTTTTTTTGACCATTATTTGGAGGACAACAATAAATTTATAGATTCATTCTTACTTTGATCTAGTGTAGCTATCTTAAATTTGCTTATAAACTAATAAACATAATAATGGTTTAGTATATGGAAAGAATGTGGCAATCTGCTAATATTTTTCATAGACACCCAAAAATCCTCACAAATTTTGTTTTAAGCTTTAGAAATTTCCGATTAACGTAAGTGAATTTTTATGTGAAAAAAAAATCTAGTTTAGTGTTATTTACATAGGCATCTTACTATCTCTGTCTGGCTATAGGGGTTAACAACCATTGTCTCATTCATCTAAATCTTCCCTTATTTTAAACATGTGTCTTTATTCAATAATTATAAATGTTGTGCCTAGAAAAGGGGAATTGGCTTCCTGATCATGATGTTATAATTTTTGTAGCTATGATTCTGTTATATGTGAATTTAGGAATAGATTTAACAGAACATCATTGGAAGTATATTCCCTCTCTGTAGATCTAGGACCAAAAAGCCAATATATCATGAACCAGTGCTGGCGTTCTCATATTCAGATGTTTGAAAATCCTAAATACTTGTTCCAATTTTATTTTTGAAGGTAAGAAGCTCACAGGTTTCTTATATGGTGCCATCCCTGATGTAACTCTGTGGAGTCAAATTCCAAAAGGAAAACTTAGGTCATAATTTTAAGCAGTTCACTCACACATGATCAAGAGATTAGTCTGCTCTTTAGAATTCTTTCCGTTTGGGGAATTCTATGATTCTCTAATTAATTTTAAGCCTTTACTGGAAAATATCATGAAATATTACTACAAGCACTTTTGAATAAGATTATTTCATGCTATTCTATTTTCTGGATTGGTTCTATTGATTCTTATGTCAAGGGATTTGTTTGAAACTATTATCATTGGCCTCACAATAATATACACATCTATATATAGTAGAAGATTAAAAGCAGTTTATGACTAAAAGTTTTCCTTAGTCTGATCATTGTTTTTTGCTCAACTCACTAGACTCTCAAGTTCCATAGCTACTGCTTACACCCTGACTACTGTCACCCAGTGGGATATAACTTTAGGCACTTGAGCCCATTCAAGAATAAACAGAATCCACACACTTAAAATTGAGTTTTCATTTTACTTCTTCACAATATTTCTGGAATCATAGCACCTCTTGATATAAAGCTGCAAGCCACATTTTGGTCATCAAACTTTAAAACATAATAATAACCGCTGTATGATAATATTCCTGGTTGTTCTTGAGGCCAAATGTTATGTATATAAAATTGGGGTGTAATTTCAAGGAATAGAAAGTTTAGGTTTGTGGTAGGATACTGGAATGGAGGACATAATTGGATACCATATGAGTTTGGTTTAGTGCTTTTAATCTTACTATCATTATCATTCCTTTATGGTAGACTTTTAAATATGTTTTTCCTAATAAGTCCCCAAGGAAATATTAACACCACAAATACTCTCTATATAATTTTGTGCTGCACATATCTATCTATCTATCTATCTCTCTCTCTCTCTCTCTCTCTCTCTCTCTATATATATATATATATATATATATATATATATATATTTCACTGAAGAACTTTTTTCCTACTTTCCAATTCTAAATTTCAACTCCTTTGAGACTGCATGGCTTAACTGCTTGACTGTTTTCTTTGCAAAATGAGGCAGGTGAATTAAGTAATGGCTGGAATCCCTAAGTGGCCTGAAGCTATTGTCAATTAATTTTGATTGTGGGTGGTGTGTTCGGTCATATATTTTGCATATGATGTGTGTATCTGAAGTAGGTTCATACAGATATGTGACTACTGTGGGAAGAGGGTTTTATTTCTATTCACAAATAAATATGTACTCTGTCTTTAAAAATGGTCAATGAGGAAGACTTTCATCATTGCAATTTCACATCTGCCAACCTAAATTGATATTTTAAATCTTGTTTGGAATTTGGTATCCGCAGTCTTACTGCCTGCTTGTAGTTTGGGTAGTATGAAACTACCCAGGAAAGTGACAAAAAGAGACAAAATGTTTACCAGACTCATGGGTAGGTGTTGTATGGTAGGTAGATGTTTTTTCTTATCTTACCCAAACCAAACTATAACTTATATTAGGTAAATCAGAACTCAAAAGTATGTCTTTCCATTTCTTAGTCTACTTTGGCTTTTGCTTCAATCTACCTTCACTATGGATTATTTTAATTTTATCTGAAATGATCTATTTCAGAAGTATTTTGTTGTTGTTGTTCATTTAATGCAAAGCTTAAATTTCTTACATAGTATGGGTATCTCAAATGCTTTAAATAAAAAAGAAAAGGGTAAACATTTCTCATCATACTGAATCATCACTCAGCCTTGACATGGTATAGTGATTATTTGCTGCAAGTGGATCTGGATAATAAGCACATAAAATACTTCACAGTTGCTTTATTTTAAAGGAAGGCTTCATTTTCATTACTTCAGGTCTTAAGATAATGAGCAATCTGTTACAAAAGCTTGTTAACATGGTACAGATCACTTGTGATGCCGTGGAAATTTGAAATAGTTACCACTCAAGTCAGTGTTCACTTACAGAGTATGCTGATCTTTAGCACTTCTAGTAAAAGAAGAAAGAAAGTTCCTGGAAAAGTGTAAGATGCCTGAGTGAGAGAGACAGCCTTGAACACATTGATGGGAAATAGAAAAGATTAGCAGGGAGATCCCATGCACAAGGAGTAGTAATAACTTGGGATTCATGAGGGAAGCCTGG